TCAGCTATTCTATCTATACCCAAAACAAATTGGAACAACAAAAGTATCCAAATAATTATGAAAATGATTACTGTTTGAAATTCATCTTGAAATTATAAGCAAAACCAGTGAAACTAAAACTGTGTTAGAAGTGAGGAATTGTTTCCACATATCATGATTAATCACAAATGGTTACAGTACACAGCATCAGCACATTTTATCTTCTATCTTTCAGGTTTCTATCTGCTCTGCTTTTAACATGCAAATGCTTTTATTCATCCTCTTGTGACCTTGCTGCATGGTATCATTTTTTTCTTTCAATTTTCCTTAACAGTATCTCGACCTATAGCAGAGAAAGAGCAACTTCTGATAGACTCCACTTTGTATTCCTTTCCTTTCTTCTAAGTGAATTTCTTTTCCCTCTGCTCTCTTTATCACTCCTGGGTAAAACAAGGGACATTGCTGGATGCAGCATTCTGATCGTGAATCCACATTTTTCCACTACTCATTAACCCTTTTGCTGCTGACCCTTCGCAACAGCTGAGCTTCAGCCCACATCTATTGCAGTTAAGGGAAAGTGAGGATGTGACCCACATCAGTAGTCATAGGCAAAACACAAAATTAAGGGACAAGGAATTTATGTAGCATAATAAGCGATTTGGGGCCAGTTTTGCTGAAGCATCAAGGTTCACCACAAGGACCATCAAACACTGTGACAGGTTGTTCAGGGAGATTGTGCAGTCTGTCCTCGGAGGTTTCCAAGATCCACCAGGGTAAAGCCTGGAGCAACCAAGTTTGATCTCTTAAGCTGACCCTGCTTTGAGCAGGAGGTTGGACCACAAACCTTCTCAGGCCCTTTCCAATATGAATTTATGAGGCCATGATTTTCAGAGGCACCCTGAAGTATAACTCCCACTGACTCCTGCATAATATTCCTATTCCAATGAAAATGACCGTGAGGTATTCTTAAAAGTCCCACTTAAAGCTTACTGGCATCTTCAGAGTCCTTAAAATTGTAGCTGCAGGGCCCCTTCCAGTTAGCAACTTCAGCTTCTACTAATGCAGTTAGAAACCGGTTGCTCAGCAGCTCCTACCAGCCTTCCTTGTTCAGATTGCTTTGTTAATAATTTTTGATTTGGGGAGTTCCTCCAATCTGGTTTTCATCTTGTTTTTCATTTTTTTTTAAAGTCTTATTTTCCTCCAAACCCCATCAGAATAATGCCATTGTATCCAGACACAAGTTTGTGGTACCTCATACTAAAAGACCCACAGGCTGCCCTGGCTACTCACCAACTTCTCTGATAGGAACAAAGAGATAGTAACCTACTGCTTGACCTCAATTCCCTTCTCACCATCCTGTTTATAACAAGCATATTGCTATATCAGCCATTGAAGTGGATGCCAGAGACCTCACCCACATCAGTGGGTATAAATGGATCCCTTACACACAGAATTTTCTTCTGCAAAGGAACATGCCATATATTTTTATATTTATATTACAGCTTTATGTTTCATTCACTGCAGCAGCAGATGATTCTTTAATCCTAGTTCTCCCATTTGCAATGCCATTTATGTTACGAATTATTTCTTTTCATAGCTTTCATGGTATTGATGGGTCTGAGGAACATTGGCTCTTCATGCATCAAGGGAAGACAGGAGACCTTATGCTTCACACCGGTCTTCATTGGATTTGCATTGAGCCGAATACCAAACACTCAATAATGCAGGCCCATTCTTGCGATCCCTTCACAATCTCGTGATGCAGGGAACCCCAAACCCCAAAGAAAAATAAATACAAGGAGATTTTCCAACTTGCAAAGGTAAAACAATGTGTTGTACAGAATCTATGCATTTGCTTTGCAGAATTGATAACTTATGTGAAGAATCATGGATGTCATTAGATGACATGGGTGACAGCCAAGAGCTCTTATTTAAACACATTAACAGAACTCATTTGATAGCAGTGAATCCAAATAAACCAGATAAACCTTATTTTTTACTTTAAATGTGTGCAATATAATGAATATCACTGAAATGTTATTCCATGTATTTTTTTTTATTTTAGAACACACGCACATTTTTGTAAGATCTTGCTCAGGACCTCTGACACAAAATGTAAACCGCAGGATAACTAGCAGAAAGCACTGGCCATCGAAGTTGGATACATCAATGGCAAGCAGTCTCATGCTCACTTAGAGCCTCCAAATTAAATCTGCTTCCCTTATTCATATCCATAATTGCAGCAGAGTAGTATTTATCCTGGTACAACACCCTTAATTGAAATGGCACTAGAAAAATAACATTTTTGATCCACTTGATTAAGTTACACAAGCAGCACTTGCCTGATGTTCAGTCTGTTCACAGTAAGCAGCCCCACACAATTTGAAACAATGGGCATTCACTGCTCCAAAGAGACCCACGCCTGCACTTAGAGGGATGCGCAGGAGCAAAACTGAAACACAGACTCTTAAGACCACCCCTTGTGCTGTGCAAAAGCTCATGTTAAACACCCTTCACTTTCAAGGACACTTAAAACACACCACAGCAATTAGAAATGAAGGGGGAAATAAAGAATAATCCCACTCTTCTTCTCATGGCCTACAGAATGAAAAACACTTGTTTCAGAATTGATTATAACCACCAGTTATTTCATCTCTAGAGACCTGAGTTCAAATCGTAACTGAAAAACGAGGTTTGTGGTTTTAAATTAAGTCAGTCACGTTCCTCTTTCCAGTCAGGGCATGAAGCTTAACACCTGACAAATTATGAAGTGATCGGAAAAATGAAGAACTTCCTCCTTTTGTTAGAAAGACTGAAAGATACTTTATCTGACTTTATGTGATTTTTTCATTATCAGCATTTAGGTAAGCTGCAGCAATTTGCACGTTTTTATACATCTTGAGTTTTGAGTTGATTCAGTGAAGGACAGAGGGTTTTCCTGTGTTTTCATGCACTGAGAGATTATTGCCATTTACAATACTTGTACAACTTTCTGCTTTTGTTCACAGCAGAAAACAAGACATAGTTGCGCACTGGCCTTTCTGTTCCATCAAAACAACGTGCCAAGTCTTGGAAACAGTCTCCCTCCCAGTTCAGTATGGCTTAGTGCACCCTGTACCTTGTGTATGCTATTGATTCTTCACTAATACAAGCATTAGCTTCAGTTGAAGAAGTACACTGTAATTACTAAATCAGACAGAAAGCAAACCCAGGCACTATTTTTAAATGTAAGAGTCAAGTATCATTTAAGTATTCCGACCTCAGCTAGATGTCCCTCCTCACAACAGGCAGAGGTCTTTTGTAACAATATTCATCATCTTTCCAATATCCTATTTTTCTCTATAATTTTCCACATTTAAAACTTTTTTTTTTCCAACTATGTTTGGCTTTTTTAAATTCCTCTAATCCTCTTTTCTGAATATAAAAAAGGACTAAAAATGGCCTCTTTTAACTGCCAGTTGTTCACATACTTTTTTTTTTAATGGAGCAGCATTAAACATAGGGCTTAGCCCACCAGCATTTTACACAAGCGGAGTCCCATTCACTTCTCCTGCAGCTTTACCCGAACAAAATTGCAGTCCTTTATCTTCAAGAAATGAGCTTTGCATTACTTCTTCTGTTCACCAAAACATGCTTAGGTACAATTGTACAGTATATTGGGTAATTCCTTGCTGCAATGTGGTAGGTGGAGTTCAAATTATGGACCAGATTCAGGTGCTGCAACTCTGCTGGCACACCGTTCATATCAGTAAAGGGAAGCAGATGTTTGCAATGCACCAGCATTAGAAGAGCAGCGAGCGCTCTCTCAGAATGATAGGATGAGCTTTTTAATTGAATTCGAATCCAAAGGAGTTTTTCGGAAGCTAAGTCAATCGGGCTCATCTATTTCACACTCCCAGAGGCAATTAATTCCTTTTCACTTTACTCACCCAGAAAACTTTCCCAGAAGAGACCAAGGAATTCCACACACATAAACGACCATGCTTCAGCCCCCAAAATCAAAAAAGCTTATGCTGTAACATGCTGTCATGAGAAAACCCGATTTAGAAACCACAGCAAAGTTTCATACTTAAGACAGCGGGAGCCGAAATTGCAGCGCAGCGTTCCAGCCCAGAGGTGAAGCTGGGCTCGCGTCCCTGTGGGCAGCACACCACTCCGCAAAGCAGCTCCGCAGCTCCCCGGGGCCCGCTCACCCTGCCGATGGCAGTGCTGGCAAATGCGCACGGCTGTTACGAGGCAGACAGACAGTACTGTGTGGTGGGTAGCAGTGGGGCTTCATAAAGCAGTGGATGGATAAAAAGCAAGCGACAGGCTCTACAAGCTGAGCAGATTTTCGAGCACTGCTCCAGGACACACCGACTGAAAAAAAAAAGAAAAAAAGAAAAAAAACACGGAGCACAGCCCAAACCCAGATGTCCAAAATCCATTCAGAATACAAACAGTAATAACACAAAACCACCACTACCCTAATATGTATTTTAAATACCAAATTAACTGTCCCTCCCGTTTTTAGCACTGCGATCTGCAGTTTGGGAACACATCCTAACAGGTCAGTTATAAGATCTCCCAGTGCTAGATATTATTAATGTTGTTTGTGCTGATAGCAATGATGAACTGAGGGAATGGACACGTGTAACGTAGTTGTTCAGCGAGCGTATAGGCAACCTTATGCAATAATATTTTAACTAGTTTATTAAATGTGTTTCCTTTTCAGAGTAAGTTCAACATCTACTGCCAAAATTTCATCAAGAACTCAAATAGCTTAGTAGCCAGTTATCACCTGTTTAACTTAAAAGCACTAATACAAGAAACAGACGTATTACACATCACTAAAATTTTCACACACACTTATCAGCATCCTGTTTATATCAATTTATTTTCACAAATCAATTTCCTTTTTCTTACTCATACTCTTTACATTTGCTGAAGGCACAACACCCACATAGGCAATGTAAAATGTACTTTCTGTAGAAAAGTCTATAGTCTCCTAAGAGAACAGTTTGGCAAAACCACTTTTGTTTAAAAACTCAAGTTCCAAAATGAGCCTTCAAAGAGCATCAGAGAACACCGCCAAGATTAAAAACTGCTGGAGGTGTCTGCACTTCTCATACGCAACACACCACTTAACCTTTAATAAACCGCGACTTTTTCAGGAAATTATAAAAGCAGTAGTAGTAAAATCTCATCTTTTTTAAATCAAGTTTTAACGATGGGACAGAGTCTCTAGACAAAGCTCCCAGAAAGAGCCAGACCACCATCTGGCTCCATCGTAGAGCAATGACAATTCACAAGAAATTAGTATCTAACCAGCACTCTGAAATCAAACGCTAGGTTGACTCTGTAAAAACTCCATTATAGCTATGAACACACAGCTGTATGCTTCCTCCCTCCTCGTACATAAATATACCCTCGGACACTTAGACAAAAGGGAAAAAGAAATAATTTTATGCATTTTTCTATGCTTCCCTGCTATGCCTGTTACCAATCAACGTCAAGAAATATCTTAAATAGCTTACTGTAGTTAGCACTATATAATATATATAATATATATAATTTTACTTTTGTTTTCACACATGCTAATGTTTCCAGTATGATAAATGTCTTTTTAAACCCTGCACTTCTTGTCACACTGTAGATCCACTGCTATTTGACAGTGAGTCCTGCACGTACATGTCAAGACAAAAATAAATACTGCTGTGATGGCAAACATTTTAAAACTCTTAGGACACTAATACAGTGGCACTTGAAAGACTTTTTAAATACAACAAAAAAGACAATAGTTAAATAGAAACCTGCTTTGACATAGCCGTAAAACCTGCACTACGTTTGTGAGATCTGTACTTGTTTCTGCGAGAGCAGCTCCTAACCTTTGAACACATCAAATGTTGCACTCCAGCCCTCCACCCATAACCTTAAAAAAGTCCACGTTGCTATTTTAAGCAAGGATCCCCTCCAGCTGTACATAAGCAACACTGTAATTCCCAAACAATTGAGGTAATTATAAAAATGAATATCATTTATTGGTTTTTTTATTACTATCATGCCTGAACATTTGCTTTCATACAAAAGTCTGATTTTCAGCATTAAGCTTTCCAAGGGCATCCCCTCCGCACCAAGACAGATAAAGATGTGGTAGGAATTGTGCAAGAGTTTTTATTACCATCTTCAAACCCACAAGAACTCCCTAAGCAAGATTTTGGTACAGAATCACTTCCCAGCACTTTAGAGAAGGACAAAGGGGCTTTACACATATTTTCAGTTCCACTTTATTTTTTTTTTTTTTTTTAAATCGCATCTAACTCAATGCTGGGGGGGAGGGAATTTAAAAAAAAAAAAGAAAACAGAAATAAATCATCACGTTACTGTATGTTACCCTTCAGCAGTCTTTGGAGGAAACTGGAAACCAGGTTCTTTTTCCCGGCTCCCTCCCTCACTCAAGCCAGCTGGAGTGGCTCCTCTCCCCAGCAGGGCTCAGCCATCCCCGAGGGCAGTCAGCAGGTGCCCGCTGCCCCATCACAGCCGCGGCTTCCTGAGCAACGTTCTGCTGAGGTCCTTCACCTCTTCGGGGCTGCCGACCCTCTCGTAGCCCAGCAGGGCCATGGGCTGTTGGCAATACTCCTCGACCTGCTTGATCTGCTGGTAGCTCAGCGCAGTTCTCCAGGCGCTCAGCGCCTGGGTGGCGTTCCTGGCCGACACCACGAAGGGCTTGGAGGAGTAGCCAGGGCCGCTGGTCATGTTAAGGGCGAACTTCTCCATCTCTGGGCTGACCGCCAGGTTGACAAAGCCGTACACCTGCCGCAGGGTCTTGATGGGCTCGACCACCAGGTCCTCATAGCGCACAGCCATGTAGTTGCCCTGCAGCCAGTCAGGAGGGTGCAGGGCAGTCTGCAGGGTCTTGGCCATGCTGCTGCAGATGACCTCCATGGCACCCAGGGCATGGTAGTCCGAGCCACCCCCCCCCTCCTTCTTTCCACCCAGCTTGTGGCCGGCATCAAGGAAGGGCATGCGATGGATGCGGGGGTCCCTGCTCCTCACCACCTGCAGGCTCTCCCGGATGAGACCGTGCCGGGACTTGATGCGGGAGCTGGCAACGGCCCGGGGGTCCCGCACCAGGTGGATGACTTTGAGGTCCAGGGTCGGGTCCCGCATGAGCGGGGCGAGGACAGCCAGGTCAAAGACACGGACACCCTTGATGACCAGCGTGCGATACTTGTGGCACTCCTCCTGGAAGCGGCTGAGGCGCTGAGGGGGGCACTTCTTGCACACCCGGTCGTCCACCATGCCCACCACCTCCTTGCGGTAGGCCGGGCAGAGAGGCGAGGAGCAGATGACCTTGTTGGTGGCCGCCCCGAAGATGCCCAGCGTGGTGAGGTTCTTGCCGGCGCCCGCCGTGCTGTAGAGCTGGAAGACGGAGAGGTCGCAGCGGTACAGGGAGCTCAGCATGTCGCGGGCCGCCCCTTGCAGCGAGACGGCGTCCCCGGGGTACAGCTTCTGCCAGACGTGCCACACCGGCTCGTAGAGGAAGAAGACCTCGGGGTTCTGGTTGAAGAGCTCCCCGAAGAAGGACGACCCC